TTTTAATTTTCCTGTTTCATTTGAATAATCTCTAAAACCTCCTAAATGACTATCAAAAGTTTTTTGTTTTGATAAAACTATATTTTCTCAATCCTAACACTAACTGTAGCAAAATCATCAATGTACAGTGAAATAAAAGTTGAAAAATGTGCAATAAAATTAACAATACCTTTTTGCATCTTCTTCTTTGAATGCATAATTGATTTGAGATTTTCAGATTACTTATCTGCATTAATTTCAACTGTTAATTTTTTCATGTTTTCATTTTATAATTTTATTGTTTTACTTGTTCCAGAGTAGCAGTTTATCCATCTATGAAAAGCAATAAATTACAGTGGAAACACATCAACATTTTCTCATACACTGTACATTCTTCACACAAAAAACAAGAAAACATTTTAATTTGCAGACATAAGTCTGCTAGGTTTACTTTTTTAGCTAAAGTTTGTTATTCAAAAAAAAATTAGTGTACTTTACAAACATACATTTCAGAACACAAGAAAAATAGTCACTAGAATGTCCCAAAACTACTATAATTTATGTGGCTTTTTAACTTAACTATAAATAGGTTAAATAATTTTGTTACTGCTCAATGCAACAGTTTTGTTCAACACAAACGAAGCACTTCTTTTCATCTATCATCTTTTACTGCTGCAAAAAACAAAGGATCATAAGTTTTGTGTAGAGGAGAACCTGCTCTTTCTATTGGTTATAAACCTATCCTTGAACAATATACTCTTGATTATATAATTGTCTTGAAAGACACAGAAGGATGGGAAGGCCTTCTTTGGTGGGTTTGACTAAATTTATTGATATCTCAGCAAATCAAAAAGGTAGAAGGTTCAAATTTTATATTCTTGCTTGTAATTATGTATAGCTTACGTTTCTGATTGTTTAAGAAATATTATTTAAGTTGTAAAATCTAAAATAAAGAATTCAGAAAACAGGCATGTGACATAACGTACGAAGTGAAGAGTAAGAAATGTTTAAATATTTACTTTTGAATTTAAAAATTAAAACTTAGATATTATGAAAACTTGGATTCTAATCTCTTTTTGATGGCAAATTTATTTTCAGACATTGATAATGTAGTTGTTTAGTTAAATTGTGAATGTAACTCTGTAATACACCATGACGTGCACTTTGACCCTGCCATGTGTAAAAAGTTAAGGATCCAGTCCCTATTTTAACATTTTATTTCTCTTAGACATACTACTATAAAAATTCTGGATAATAATGGCCAAACAGTTCATTAATGATAAATATTGTCTCATGGCCTCAAAATTGGCTTTCTGAAAGTTTGGAACTAATATTTCATTTCATTTTATCTCAAAATGTAGCAAAACATTAAACCTAATTATGCAATGATCACTCCTCTTGCTGCCCTCTTCAACTGTTGCATCTGTATCCTCATCGTTGGTTAATAGTAACTCTAAAATGGCATCAATCTCTGGTTGGATCTCCGATCATTTGGTATACAAAACTGTTCTGAATCATTTCAAGAAATGTCTTTTCAACGTGACTGTACACGATCACAATAAGTGCATCATAAAATTAAAGTCTCCAATAATTATTGCAGCAGTATTTCTATTAGTAACAGCCCTGATTTAATTATAGAAAAAAGTCCATTACTATTAAATAACTTACAACCTGCAATTTCAAACAAATGCTCTAAATCTAACCAAGTTTCAATAATTCCTATTATATCTTAGTCTAGTGTAGTCCAACCTAATGTCAGAAGTTATGTAGGTGTGCTACTGAGAGATGAAATTGGCCACTCTATAATAAAAAAAGATAGGTGTGGATACAACACATACAGAGTATTGCAAGTTCTTACCCATATATTGTTTTGTACATCGTAAGACAACAAAGCTACTTTATAACTATTATTTAACATGCTGTGGTTTTATTTCTTGTTTAAAAATTCTTCAGTTCTTCACCTATCATGTCAATTTATTCATTCCCAATATATATATATATATATATACAGTTTCCCCCAAAAAGCAACTGATCCTTGGTTCCTGCAGCTAAACTGTCAACATGCTCTGTGATGTCCTGTACTTTAGCACTTGGCATGAAAATTACAGATTGTATTTTTATGCTCTCCACTACAAGTAACTTACCAGCATGTTTAATAATAGTCCCCCAGTATATAAACATTTTGATCATGTTGACCCTCAGTGCAAACATCCAAAAGATCAAATGTAATTTGAATGTCAACTGAATCTGTTTTTTAGCTTTAAACTGTTTTACTACTATGCCCCTTGTGAACCTAGCACTCTCATTATCCTCGAATACAGCCTTTACCCTAACTTTACCCAATTTTTTAGTCTTGCTTCCTTGATTTCTGCTCCTAATCTGCTATTTTCCCCCTAACAGCATAATGTTTCTCAGAGTGGTCTCTACTTTACCTTCAACTGTTTTACATAAACATACTAATATCTATGAGTTTTTTCATTGATATGTTGATATAGTATTAATCTAAATTTATTAATTGTTTCTGTGTATGTGCATTTTTCACATAATTAGTCAAGAAAATTAATTTGAATTTGCTCTAGTTGCCTTTGTTTCTTTGTTATTCTTTGGGGTTAACATCTGTCCTTCACATGGATGTTATGTCTGTAATGTTGCATGTTTTACAGGGATGTCCAAAGCAGTATACTCTAATGGTATATAAGGTGATAGCAAGTTTATTACCTCCACTATATTTGAATGGGATTGATCAATAGTGACATAGGTGGCTCACATGTCATGAAAGTAGTTTTTTTTTAAAGTTGGTATATAATAGCATAATCGCTAAACTCTTTCATTATCTCAGGCTCTTAATTTGGTAAGTGAAATTTAAATTCTTTATACGTAATGATTCTCCCCTAAAGTTTAACTTGTAATTTTATGCAATTTTTAATAAACCTCTTTATAAGTTGTTAGGAGACTTTAAGAGTTAACTGTATAATACAGGTATATTTTTTATGCTATGTGTGTATTATTTGTATTTTATGTGTTTGTGAGTTTTAAAGATTGTTTCATTGTGTTTTTGTAATTTGTATCTAGTCTCTTTCTTTCTCAAACACAAAGAACTCAAAACTACTTCATAATAAATATCTTGTTTAATCTCCTGTTATTAAATAGACCTATCCAGTTACTGTAAGGTCAAGCTCAAATGGTCTAATCAGAAGTCTAAGCAAAGTGCCACTACAACCAGAGTAAAACAAAAACAGTTTATTAAATATCACAACAGAAATCCGAAAAAAACTTTCAAAGAATTAGAAATTTTATCACTTACAAAAAACAATTAGTAAACCCATGCCTAGTGAGGACTAGGTAAAACATTAATAAACAATACAACATAAATCTCGATAGGAAAAAGAACCAGAAAAATAAAAAAAATACTAATTAACCTGAGAATAACACAGTGTTTCAAAATTAAACCACTTCTCAATATCAAGAACAATATCAAGCAATAATTATCAATAATTCTTTCTCACTATATCTCGTAAACTAACCCATTTTCAAGATCAAAAAAGTTTTCTTATTTAGTGATTAGACCACAAGGTTACATTTTATGTGACTAGCTGTTACTATAAATTTATATGATTTTTCACAAAATTAATAACTGTATGTTACTGCTAGAAACTTCTCTCGATATCATAATACACATATACTCAAAATCAACACACTCTAGGTAAAAAATGAGTTAGTGCTTTAATGTAACTAAACATTCATAGTTGAACTAAACAACAGAAGGAATAACAAATGAATTGTAAACAAAACTATAATAAAATGAAACTAGAATTCACTATCTCAAAAACTTAGTTTTAATTGAATAAACCACACAAGTAAGGAAACTCTGCAGTTTTAGTATCGTGCATCTTTCTCAGATTCCTAAAAGTTGTAGTCAAATCCACAATTCTCAAATGTAACCCACTCTTTATGCCTATTGCACCCTATAAGTTTCACTCCATTTAATACTGATATCCCCTATCAACCATTACCGATCCAATTAATAACTAGTGTTGTAGCTGCAATATACACCATGTCCGTAATTGTACGTAACTAATTGCTAATTAAATAAATATATATATAATGTATTAAATTCTCAAAAGCTCCCAAATAATAGAAACAATAATTTCAACTCATAACATAAATTAATTATCTTGATCTGTAAGAGTTGGAGAGAGAGAAAATAAACATTTTATGATATATCTGTATACTGTATAATAGTATATGTTTACTTGTAAGGCAGCCCTGAAGTTTATTTTGAAGCTTGTGTTTTAAACAATATAATTTTGTAACAATTATTTTTTACATTTGGCTTACTAAAATGTACTTGGATATGTTCTAACAAATTATCTTAAACTCCGTATCATATTTCAATCAATCAATCATATTGTCAATCAATAATGACTAATATATTTGCACTAAAATAATTTTCTAGTACTTTAATAATTTGGTTTTTGACTATTACCAGGATCATTAAAATGTGTACATTCAAAAGTTTGTCAGATAATTCCAAAAAGCTTTAAAGATTTATTGCTTAGAAATTATCATTTTGATCAGTCCTCCTTATTACTACTTGTTCAGCTTTAATTATTTTAGCCAATATATAGATAAAAATGACAGCTTAAACCTTGAACTCTTATTGCACTCCCTCCCTACCTTTAAACTTTGATCAGACTTCATCAGGTCAGTGCCCTGTGCCTCCTTAGCCACAATCAGTGATAGAGTGACCTTGGGTTGCAAAGCCCTGACCACTGAGTGTACCTCATTTTAGGAGTCCCTTAACTGTAACTGTACACCATTATCCCAAGGTCATGTATTCTTGAGCTTGAATGGGCAGCTGTTGCCCTTGTAATATATGCTCCTCCTCCTGTAATATTTGATATGGGAAGAAGCTGGAGGTATGAAAAAAAGTAACTGGTTTAAATGAAGAGAATACTAGTGTTGCTTATCTGGAAACTTCTTTGTAGAGGGTTGGAATAAACATACAGTTATTTCTACTTTCACTTGACTGTGTTACAGGTAAGTGATAGTTTAGTTTATTGAGCTGTATGTAATAGCCATATAGCTATTTGAAAGTGGGGATATATATACTGGATCATCATATTTTTACTACATGTATGAAGACAAAGAATTAAAGATCTTGTAGTTTTCAGTTTGTGATTTAGGTGTATATTATGGATCTTGTTGATTTTCTTTTTAATTGTTACATGCAAATGTAGATCTCTTGAATTTCAAAACTAATGTGTATTACAATGCATAAAATCATAAACATATTCTGATGTTAAGCATATGTGGATATTGAAAATTTTGTTTGTGCATCTTTTACTTTTAGGTACACTTTCTCATAATTGCTTAATTTCTTAGGTTTGGTATATATTTTAAAACTAAGTCTTTATGTGATTGACCTTGATACATAGTTACTTGTTTCTTGATATGCAGTAAAATTATAAAGATTTTTTTACATAAATATTGATAAGTTATTTAAAATTTAGATTTTATCTTGAAATAAGTCTGTCATAAGAAACAGTTAGAAACACTAAAAGGTTTTCTTAAAGAATTTGGCTGTAGTGAAGGTATGGTTGTTGAGTGACAATAGCATAAATTTGAATCCAGTGTGCAATTAGATTTATAGTTAAGCGCTCATAAATGTGAATACATGACATAAAATGAGTTACACATATAAGCAAGTAACAGAAAATCATATTCTAATAAACATATATGTAGTTGACCATTTTTGCTTGATATAATTAAAAATAGAAGAAACACATTGAAACATATTCACTAAGAATTAGTAGTTCTGTACATTAAACATAAAAACAGAACACAGTTCAAATTATATAATCTGCAAAAAGTGTTTGTTTTAAGGCTTTTAGCTGTTTACCATTTACTCTTCTAGTTGTGTTTTCATAGTTGATTTTGTTTTGAGTTAAATTACATAACACATGTACACTGCTTCCCACTAGTAATAATTTTTTTCATACATACAATTTACAGTACATATACATGCAAGTGGGATAACTGAACAGTCAAGGTAATTATAAATAGCTGGACATGTGTTTAAACATATTAAGTTCAGATTTTTATTTACATGTGTACATTTGAGATTTTCAACTTTCTATTATAAGTGTCATTATTTTTCTATATAAGTTTATATGAGGTTGTTGAAGTCTTTGTTATCTGGTATATGCATATGTTGATGTACAGGTGGGTGTGTGAACACATCTTCTGTAGTTTAACATCAAACAAAGTGAAGATTTACCTTTATGTTGTCTTTCTAGTCATTTCCTGTTTTACGTGATATGTGTATTAGTGAGTTATTTCAATAATTTTTAGTTGCTAATTGAATGTATATTTCATTATGTTGTGAAATAACTGATAATTAAACTGGTTTAATTGGTGAACAGATAAATCAACTTTGCAAAAATAAATGTAGATTATGAAGCTGGAATGTACATGATTATACTATGCTTTTGATATTATAATAGTTGATTACTTTATTTTCATGGTGCAATATTTTCAGATTACTTTTAATATTAAAATAGAAATATGTTAACAAAATATTGTCATACCCTATGCATCTTCTTGGCTGGATCTCTCTCAGTGGCATTCAGAGGTTAAGTTTCTAGCTAAAAGTGCATGCAGGAAACTTGTTAATGGAGTCTGTTTTATTATATGCAGTATTACATTTATTGAGTGCATGTACAATGATTGAACTTTTACATCCTGGAGTATTTTGTGTAATTGACATCTGAAGTGTGGAGTACACACATATATATATATATATCTCCTATAGTTTTATAATATGTTTGGGCTTATTCCAGTTGAACATAATGACCAGTTTTAACAACTTTAGCTGAAGTGTGACCTTGATGTTTTTTTTTATCAGTTCTTCTCAGTAACAGTGTTGAAAATTTCCTGCTAGGTGTACAATGTAGTACTTGTAATAGGCAAGGTAATGCAGTTTTACTTACTACAGATATGCACCTACCAAAGAAATATGAGTAACTTGAAGTTACTTTGAAATCAAAGAAGAAAAAAAAGCATAGAAATACTCATAGTTATCTAAATCTAACACATCAAATATCTTCTGAAATTGTTGAAATAAATAAGTCTTTTTAATCACACATAAGTAGAGTTTTTAAAGTTATTACCACCAACTTTTGAAACTTGTGATAAGGAAGCCTAGATAATAATTTTACAGTTTTGTTTTTCAAAGTTGAAGTATTGTCACAATCAAAGACAAGAATCCTGTTCTGTTTCATACAGAGTAGGTAGTGAAATGTTATGTCCTTTTTTCAGCTTAAAAGAATTATTATCCAAGTTTTACTTTCCTGGCATGTCTTAGTAAACTGAGCTTTGAGGTGATTTTTTTTTTTATATATTATCTTGTGACATTTCAAGAAGACTGGTGGAATGAATGTTCAGTTTTCTTACTTAGACATTTGCATGAGTGATGTTTTAGTGCATCAGCATTATTTGGTCACTATTATTGTTTGTCCCCATGATAAACACTTTTTTGAGTCATTTAATTATTTTTAACAGCCCATATGTGCCATATCAGGTGAATTAGTATATCAGACATTGATTCAAAAGATTTAAAAGTTTCAGGTTTTAGTAGAGGGTCCTAAAAGGGAAGTACAGTACATGACTCATATGGTGTGTGAGTGGTCCTCTTAGTGTATGTAAATTGTATGTACTTAAAAATATACATGTATTGTACTACTAAGCTCATGTACTGAGTAATTAAATGTGCATGTAGCTTGCTTTGTATTGCTATTTCCAGGAAAATAATTTCACAATTATATATTGTGCAATATACGGTGTATGCATCACACTGTACATTGCACAATGAGATGTATGTGTGGGTTAAACAAAATATTTTATTTTGATTACTGGTGTGTTTGCTTTCAAACAGGTTTTCATGGTCAGAGTATTTGAAGCTGCAACTTGTGACTGCTGATATAGATCTTAAAACCTTCAAGGTTACTGTCACTTTCTGTCCTGTTGTAGTAACTAAAGAAAATAGGCATGTGTTTATGCATTATGAATTTTGAGCATTTAGAGTTGCTTCTTGATACATTAGTATAAACTGTACATAAGTATATACATTACATTCTGTATATAAGCAGGATATTAAAAATAACCTGAATGTATAAGATACACTGTGTACACATAGTAGAGATCATTAACACAACTACAGTTGGTGAATGATGCTATTTTATGAAAAAAACAATCAAGACGGAACACCTGTTACACCTGTTTACAGTTTAGTTTTATTGAATATGAATTCAGTGTATCACATATGCCTTCAGTTAATCAGAATACACCTGTACATTTTATTTACTAAAACGGAACATACGTACATACTGACTTGTGAAATTCAGAAATAAAATGTTGTTAGTTATGTGTTTAAGAAAGCATATTAACTGACTTTGTAAGTAACTTAAATGTGTGTAAAAAAAAACAACAAAAAATACACCTATCTGTTATGAAATTGAATGTAAGAAATATGTGTAGATTTAACCTTTAAGACAAGACACACCTTTAAAAACTTCATGTTTATGTAATACATGTATACTGTAACTTATCAATGGACATTTATGTGTGAACTTTCATGTTGACATGCTGCATTGTCAGTTAATATGGGACATGGCTGTATTATGTTTTGTGTTTACAAAGTACATTGCAAATTCAAAATGTACATGCATGTCTATGAGAGTTCTATTTACATGTTATAGCTACATTGTAAATTAAGGACGTGACTTTGTATCTTCTTGTGCACAGAAAGCTACATTGTATATATACATATATGTTAAAGTTTTTTCTTTTTCATCAAAGCCCCATAGAAAGTTACATTGTAGATAAGGATAGGGCATGTATAGTTATACATAGGGAAAGGGAATGTCTATATGAAGCTGTATGTTAACAAAAAGTTACATTGTAGTTTAGGAAGGAGCATGTATAGTTACACATAGGGAAAGGGAATGTCTATATGAAGCTGTATGTTAACAGAAAGTTACGTTGTAGGTAAGGATGGGGCATGTATAGTTACACATAGGGAAAGGGAATGTCTATATGAAGCTGTATGTTAACAGAAAGTTACATTGTAGGTTAGGATGGAGTATGTATAATTACACATAGGGAAAGGGAATGTCTATATGAAGCTGTATGTTAACAGAAAGTTACATTGTAGGTTAGGATGGAGCATGTATAGTTACACATAGGGAAAGGGAATGTCTATATGAACTGTATGTTAACAGAAAGTTACATTGTAGGTTAGGAAGGACTGTGTACTATATGTTACATACTGGATATTAGGAAATGACTTCTCTGTATGAAGCTTTTTGTTAACATTCTAAACTGTGTACATATAGGATGTAGTGGAATGAAACTGTGTTAAATAATTTATAAGTTTGTTAGAAGAAACTAATTTTTTTGCTTCACTGTATATGTAAATTTCAATATTTTTCACAGGAGAATTTTATAAAGAAATTATGGGCACCTTATGGAACTTGCAATGTCGTCTCCTTGTGGCTATTCAAAACAATGATATTTCTACAGCAGAGTGTTTATTGGAACGTGGTGTTGATGCAGATGTTCGATTTCATGTTGGATCTCAGACTAGACCAGCAATCTGCCTCTGTGTAGAAAGGGGACACGTAGAAATGGGTAGATGTTTGAATTGCATGTAGTAATATAGAATATGAAATTGTTAACAAGTGTAAAACACTACAGTGAACAAGTGTACATAGTTAATTCACCTAGATAATATTTCAAGTTATGTTTCTACAATACATTTCTCTAAATATTATTAATACTGTTTACATGTGTGTGTATATATAGTGTGCACATAATGATGTGTTGTAATGGTTTCGCACAGTGTTGCATGATTGGTTTAAGTAGTAATGTACAACAATGCATTATATGAAAATAAACTAATTGTATATTCTGTGCAAGTAGAGCTACTGGCTTAATTGAAAAATCATGCTAAGAAGTTTAGTTATTCTTTCTGTTTCTGAAGTATGCAGACATACTGTAACCTGGGAGAAAAAGGATTGTGGTTTGTAAAGATGATATTTGATTAGAATACAAATAGTAACTGTGCATGTAATTTGAAAACTGAAACTGTCATTTTGATGGTGATCTGTAGAATTAGAGTTTGATCATAATATTATCAATACGTGTTCATATAATTTGAAAAGTGTCATTTTGATGGTGATTTGTAGAGTTAGTATTCTTGTTGTACAGATACATTTATTAGAACTTAATTTGTTGGTAGTTTTATTAATATTTGTGGGAAAAGTAACCATTATTTAAATCAATTAGAAAGTACTATGCATTTTCATTGGAGACTGATAGGTATTTACTCACTCAGATTATAATCTACATTAAAATTTTGTAATAAAACTAAACATTTATTTTTGGAAAGTACATAAACTTAATGTATCATAATGTTCCTTGATTGATTCTCAGTAGTAACTTAGAATTTGTTTTGTATGTTATCTTTACCACAACCCATTAAGTAAAACTAAATTTTCATTTGCTTTTTAATTTTTTTTTAGTGAATACCACTTGGAAAGTTTTAAAAATTACAATTAAATAACAATTACTGTAAGGTAAAAAACTGTTCTGAAATTATATAAATCATTTCTAGAAATATTTAGAGAATTAAGTACAAAGTTTCTAATTGACTGACTTTAGCTTTAAAGAAACAACTCTCTTAGATACAATATTCAGTGCCTTTACTCACAGATATTTTTTTTATTAAGCTATAGTAGGTTTCAGATATATCTTATAGTATAAAATCTATAAATTATAACACAATATGAAGCTGAAATGTTAATTCTTTATCATAAAAACATGCAAAGCTTTATTCACTGCATCTACTATTGTTAAAGCATGTTGTACTTTAATACATTTGCATGTGTTGTCTTACATATACAAGTTTCATTTGCACAAGCATGTGCAAGTTGTGTACATTTTCCTTTTACTTGTAATTTTACAAAAGAATGTGTTTTACAGTATGTTAATCTCTTGTTAATTTCAACTGTTATTTTCTTTAAATTATATTGTTAAAGATTTGACTCTGTGACTATATAAGTGATACAACGTAAGAAGCAGATAATGCAGACTTATAACTAAGTTAGTAGTCTTTCATGCCTTGTGTATATGTAATATGTGGGTTTGATTGTATGTACATACACATTAATCTAAAGTGTGATGAGTAAAACAATTATCTAGAAGTTTAAAATATTGGCCTATTTTCATAATTTTTATGAGTTACAATTTAAAGTTTGTATAAAGGAAAATTTAAATGGTTATAACAGAAATATTATACACAGGGTGGGCAAAAGTGACTACATAATTGTTTCATTTAGAGCATTCTGTATGTGTACAGTAGTTTAGTTTCTAAAATCCTACTCTGAAAGAAACAACAGTTAAATTGGTTTCAGTTGTCTTTATAATATGACTATCTTTAGTACCAACTGAATAATAACTACGGTCGCCCCCTCTCAAATCTGGCAACCTTGGGACTTGAGCCTTGCTGTATCTTGAAGTTTGATAGATTTCAGGTGGTCATTATTATAGTCATACATAAATGAAAAAATAAATAAATTAAGAAAACTGCATTTCAGTTCTACATTTTATTGTACACAGTACTTTACAGTGTATTCTATATCAAGAGAAACATAATATGAATGGGAAAATATTTTATCGTACAGATAAAATAAAAAAATAAGTACAGTATTTATTATTACTTCTTGAAAAGCTGCAGACCAATCTGAAAAGAAAAGAGAAAAAACATTAAAGTTGTTGAACACTACTGTACTTTATTGTAATGTACTCTACATAGTATTTTACACTGAACATAAAAGACATAAGCATGGTTAAAACATTTTACTGTAAAAGTAATATTTGCCCATTTTCCTAAGATTAGCTGGAAAATGGGTGGTACTGGAAAAGAGATTGCCAGATCTGGGAGGATGGACTATATATATATAATGACATTTGTCTTACCCTGTGTCATCTGTGTACACATCTCTTATAAGAAAGATATCTTGTAGTTCATAAACAATGGTAATATTTTATTTTTCAACATGATCTTTTTTATCTTGTTATCTGGAGGTAATATTACTTTTACTTAACTTCTAGAATGAAATGTTCAATCATGCATATAAAAAAAATATATTTTTGATATATTGATAGATGACATTTCACTGATCCACTACTTCAATGGAGTGTTATTCTAAACATTTCTTACATCAATTCCATTGGAATCTCATGAATTATATTTCAAACTTTATTTTAAAGTAGGTTTTTCTTAATCATTTCTTAGAAATAGTCCATGTGGAAAATTTTAGAATAATTAAATTTTCTGTTAATTTTGCTACACATGTATAAATGTATGTAGCTTTGTACAATATGTTTCAAGAAATATTTTAAAATATAATTTTTGTTTTTTTATAAGTCTGTATCTCTTCTACCTCATAGGAATAACTTAGCACATTCTAGTTGCCTTATTATTCTTTCATTCTTCAGTGTTTATTTGAGATGTATTAGTGACCACCTACAGAAGTTTATTCTTTTCATCTAGCCATCCATTTGACTGGCCTGATGGCCTTTAGGTACTTTTTTTAATACTAGAAACAATAGTAGGTCACTGAAGAAAACTGTAATTTTCGATACGGTGTTACCTCTCTTACTCAAAGCTGTCTCAATCTTCTTTCTGCCTCCGGAGCATCGCTAAACAATTTTAATGCTCAGTACACCAGTCTATACACCCCATAAATTTCACACCACTTTTGAACATGTATATAGCATGTGACCACTTTCCAACAATAGTATTGTGCCACCAATATTGGTGCAGCTAGTTTCATCTGATTCTCCTGCTCAATCCTCACTTTCTTGGTTAGCATAACATCATTTAAACATGTGTCTTTTCGCATGTGACTACCATTTATGATTGTACTTTGTTGATATTTCAACACCTTTTTCAACAGTTTTCTTTTATTGTGTTTGCATTCAATTGTTTCAATGTTTTTGCATTTGTTTATTGTTACCGAATTATACATTAACATAGAATGACTTCACATTTCATTGTATTGACAACAGAAGGTCCAGTTAATGGTAGAAAATACCTCTGGTATGACTACCCAGGCCTTGGGTTCGACTTTATCCACTGAGAACATACAGGCCTTAATTCACAGGGATCTAGATTCCTACATTTGGCTAGCAATTTCTTTTCACTGTCAACCTGACAGTCTTACTGAGGATGTATACAATCAAGGAGAAGAAAACTGAGTTCACTTTTTCCAACACCTTGTATTTGGTCTGTCACACTCTACACCTCTATAAGATATTTCACATTCCACATCCTTTTTTTTTATAGCTGGTTAATCAGGTATGTGGTATATTACATGTTTCCTTTTCCTCTTAGCTTGAGGACATTGTGGATTGGATATCTTTTATCAGAATCCTCCTATATCATTCTATATCCATTCTGGTTCTTCCTCTCTAAGACCTCTGTTGCCCAGGAAGGCCATTTGGCTTTCACACCAATTTCTTTACCTTCCATCTCCAACATGTACACCCATTTTGATCCCCATCGCTTCTTTGTTAGGTTTGCTCCCTATAGTGTTATGTGGTCCATACTGTCTCGTTTCGGGGTTCACGTTCCCGATCTTTTATTCTCTGAAACCCTTCTGTTTCTCCTGATCTCTCCCCTGTAGCACTAATTGGTTGGGTTCATCATCTCCTTAGGCTGGCGTATTCAGGCTTATCCGTGGAAGATTACTGTTTTCTCAATGTTTCTTCTCATCAAATTTTTCATATTACCATGTCTTTAGTTGCTTGTATTCAGTATTTGTTGGAAGAAATCATTCAGGACATAATGTCAACTACTCCCTATTCCTTTGTTGCTCATTATCTGCACTATCTGACTGTATCTTGCTCAGGTGGATATCTCTCTCCCATGATAATAATACACAGGTCTGTTCGCCTTTGACTTGGGTATATCTTTTCATGACATTTTATTTATGTTTTCTTTTCAGGGACCCTCTTTTACCACTACTAATAGGATCCCGCTCTGTGGCAAGTGTTGTCTGGGCAGGTGTGCTTTCATACAAACCCACACTGTATACCAATGAAGCTTGAATGCTCACTATAGAGATGTGGTGTTCCACAAGACCACTATTGGCATGCCTGTTGGTATATACTTGTGTGTCTCTAGGCATATTTAAGTTTAATTCAGTGGTGGACATCACTCATGGACTATCATGAGTAAAGCAAAAGGGGTTTTCTGCCAGTCTGTGCTGACCCTTTAATTGCATAAATCGGGGATGGTCTGTTTCTTAAAATAGGAAATCATGGACACCCATTGCACTTTCTGCAGTGTGATGATTCTCCAGACTCCCAACCACATTATCTCCCCCTCTCTTTTTTTCTTCATGTGGATCATGGGAGCCTTTACCAGTTCCCAGTCACTGGGTGGTGGACCAAGGAGTGAGAAGTATAAATTTACCTTATAATACAACCATACATTTATCCACTTGCAAAGCTGGTTTCTCTTCTTTTTCCCATGGATGCTTATTCCAAGGTAATACCGGGTTCAGGATGACACCGTCCTGTTCCCACGGTTGAGTGTAGTAGAGGGCCCCCTTCTCATTAAT